GAAGACTCAAATTTATCCTTCATAAGAAAAGTCCAAGTGATACAAGAGTGATCATCAATAAAGGTAATAAACCAAAATATTCCATGTAAACCCGTAACCCGTGAAGGTCCCCAGATGTCACTATGAATTAAAGAAAAAGGTTTAGGTGAGCGGGAGAGAGAAGGAGGATAAGAGCTCCGAATGTGTTTTGCAAGAGAACAAATTTCACAATAAAATGATGCGGGATTTTTATTAGTACATAATTTGGGAAACAATTTTGTAAGATGAGGAAAACTTGGGTGACCTAACCTAAAATGCCATAACACAATGTCGGTAGCCGCATCTGTAGGAGAAACTGAAACAAAGGAAGAAATAAATGGTGCGAGTGAGTGGTTTGGAATGGGAGCATAAGGAGGAACTTCAAGGATGTAGAGTCCACCACGACGCCTAACATTGCCAATCACCATTCCTGATGTCAAATCCTGAAATTCACAATGATCACTAGTAAAATGAGAAGTACAACCCAAATCGGTAGATAATTTTCTAATCGAAAGAAGATTACAAGTCAAACTTGGAACAATTAAAACATTAGACAGAATAATTCGACTATTAATGCAACCCGGAGCCATTGCACTTAATCGGTGATAGGGAGTCATCATCAGTACAAACACTGCATGAGATATCATTTTTGTGAAAGGTTGAAAATAAACTGAAGTTGTTTGTCATATGATCACTTGCTCCGGAATCAACAATCCAAGAGACACATCCGGATGAAGGGGATAAGAAGGCAAAAGGAAAACTACCTTCCCTAACAGTGCAGGCAGACTTAGGCTCAATAGTAGGTGGAATCTGTAAATGACCAAACATCTGTCGTAGATCATCCAGCTGTTGACGAGAAAAGGAACCACATTCCAATGTTGTTACAGTAGAGTTATCGTGGGGATAGATGTGAGGAGGATTTCGATGGAGTCCAATTGGCCGAAAAACCATGTAGCTTCTAGCATTTATCACGAACATGACCAGGTTTCCGGTAGTGATTGCACCAGGGAGGACCTTTCTTGACACGGGTGTCACCGGAGGAATGGGTATTCAAGACAAAACTTTCAACGGATGGAGAAAGCATCAGAGAGCGGCGGCTTTCTTCGCGGCAGACCTCAGAGAACACCTCGCGAAGAGACAGAAGAGGCCTGATGCCCAGCCCCGACAGGAATTGAAAAATACGTCATTTTTCAAGCAGCCCTTTATAGAGTTTGGCATCAACACCAGTTTGCCAAGCAAGAGTTTCGAATAGATCAATTTGCTGCCATAAGCGAGACAGCTGAGTGAAGTATTCCGTAATAGTGAGATTTCCATACTTCAAGTCATTGATCTAGCATTCAATGGAAAATAGAGCGAACGAGTTTTCCTGATTGGAGTATGTCTCCTTGGCAGCATTCCATATTTCGAAGGCAGTGGTATAGAGCATGATATCCACGCTAATGTCAGGCAACATATAGTTGAGGAGCCACGACATGATTATGGTGTTCTCGGTGAGCCAAGTGTCGTATTGGGGATCAGAGGGATCGGGGATCGACATATTATCAGGGAGATATTGGTGTTTTCGAAGACTGATAATCAACAGACGCATGGATTAAGACCAGGCAATGTAATTCTCACCATTTAGACGATGAAAAGTAATAGACGAGGAAATCAAGTCGGAAGGAGACGACTGGATAATGAAATTTTCAGTCTCGGATGGAAGATTAGATGAAGAAGGAAATGCCATAACTGTCGAGAAAAGAAATTGAAGGCTGTGTTACGGTGAGACCGGGCTGGCCAAACAGTGACCAAACAGCGGGAAGGACTGTCGCTGTGATGAGGGCAGCACTGGACCAACAATGTGATGAGAGCAGTACATCGAGGAGAGCAGTGGTGCGACAGAAGCGGCATTGTGAGGAGAGCAGTACTTGGAGAAGAGCAGTGATGTGATTGCACAACAAGGACGATGAGTTTGCGACGGGGTTGTGCTGCGATGCGAAGAGAATGACACTGCGATAAGGATAGCACTGCGAAGGGTGTGACAATTCAATGGAGCAACGCTACGGTGGTGTAGCAAGGAGGACGACACTGCGAAGGTACTATGTTGTGAAAAGGGTGGCGCTGCCAGAAAAGATGGTGTTGTGAAGGGTTTGTTGTTGTGATGGGTACGACGTGTTGATGGGATTTTATGATTGGGAGGACGGGAGTGCACTGAAAGCACACTGCTGATCGGAAGAATTACAAACGGCGACGACAGCAAGGCTGAGATCGATTCCGGCAACTGATACCATGTAAATAACCAGATTTTTCCGATAGTGAAAGAATTGAAATACTTCTATTCAAAGGAAAATTACATCTTACACAAGAGGGTATATGGGATATTTATATACATGAATTAGAGACCTAGATAAAATAGGAGTCATATTTTCTACATATTAAGAGATAGTTTTAGAGATAAATTAGGATTAAGAGTTTAACTTAAACACTACTTATAATAGTTTGTGACATTTATTAGAATATTTATTTTTCCCCATTCAAGATTTATAATCGTTTTGACAACACGCCTCATCTGAACCTCTGAATTTCTATACTTCAATGCCCACTTTGGCACCCAATGCCAAATGAACCTAGTCCTATAGTTACTTCTGTCTTATGGTCCTCTGGTTTTTCCATTTATGCAATCTGAAACTTGCCTAGATACATGATCAGTTTCCTCTTGAAATTTTAATCTGTGTGAAGATTTGGATTAGATAACTAAGCTTATTGTCACAATTATTTAGAAAATCATGATACCAACTTTCCTTGTTGCAGAAAAGTGCTGCTTCGTGTTGATGCAATGCAGAGAGCTCCCAGGGGTGGAAATTCTGTTCTGGAGCTTTTACAAGTACAATTCACTTCTTTTCCCCCCCTTTCTTTCCCTTTCGAGTTCATTGTTTACATGCGTTAGTCATTTTATATTTTGACCGACTTCAATACAGAACCATTAGTAGTTTTTATATATTGCTCAGTCCTGCATGAGTTCCCTGATTGCAGTTTGATTGAACCAATGATCTGGTTCATATGTTGTTCTAAGCAAGTTGATTGCTATGGACATATGTATAATCTCCTACATAGTCGATTTTCTCTATGTATTCCCATGAGTTGGTCTTACAGATTAGATGATGAATAATGGAACTAAAAGGCAAGCTAAAAGGTTGTCATAGCTTTGTGAGAAATTATAGCTAGATCAGCGGTGAATATGATTAAATGATTTCATGCAGGAAATAAGATGACATCTGGAATTGATGCCATTAAAAGCAAGAGGAAACAAGAAGCAAGGTCGACCAAAAAGAGACACGGATTTTGCTGATCATGCTTTCGGCCCTTGTTTCCTCAAAACTGAGTTTGACATTGCTTAATGACTAGGGTCTTGTATATTGTCAATTGCAGTGAATGCAATGCAATAGTTTAATGGTATCATGGCTTTAGAAGTGGACCTTGTTGCTTGTGGAGGAGCTTTTCTGATACATAAGTTAGCTCCGAAGTGCTAAGAAAAGTTATGACAAGTTATTGCTTTTGTGCTGTAGGTAGATCTATATCCGCTTAAGATTCATTTGACTGAGGCAATGTAGATTCATTTGACTGAGGCAATGTACAGAATGGTGTGGGCATATCTTTTCCCATTAGAAGACCAACATTCACAAAAACAGAAGGTTAGTTTTGGGCTTCGGGTCTTTGAATCTGTAAGCAAATTTTCAGTGCAATTGGTGATATTCTTTATGCTTGGAACTTGGGATATGCAGGAAGTTTGGAAGGTCTCGACAATCTCTGGTGCAAGAAGGGCAAAGAAAAGCATTGATATCACAACAACATCGGCCTAATATCAAAAGAGCCTGAGGCATCACACACATCAAGTGCGTCTATTACTGATCTGCCGACTGATTCTCCCAAGTAAGCTTCCATATATTTCAGTAACTTGTATTAACACGGAAACTTCTTGATTTGTTTAAGCCACTAGGTTCTATTGAGGCTTTATATCTTTATATTATAATGCAGTAATTTCCATAAACTCTTTCTGAACCCACTTGCAGGCAACAAAATTGCCAGACCTAAAATCTGGCTCCGGGTTGAGGAGAATATCTTCTTTCGACAGAATGGAAGACGTTGTTGCAGAGTCCATAGCAACCGAAATTCTCATGCAAGCTCAATCCTCGAAAATGAACCTTCTTGATCCCATTGAGCAACAGGATAAAATGAGAGACAAAATCTGCTAAAGCCGGTCGACCATCTCAGGTTGTAAAACCCATTGAAGAGAAAAGGCTAGGCCTCCTAAACTGATTAAATTTCGCGATGTCAAGTTAAGTCAGGTGCTTCAACTAACTTAATTGGTTATCTCATGTTTTTTGTTGTCATTATTTGGTTTCTATTGTCATGTATTTCTGTTGTTGTGCATTTGGTTGAGCTATCACTTACGTACGAATGGTCCAGATTTGTTGGAAGTGATCTCTCGAGTTGAGTCGAGTTCATTGGAACATGGAGGAGACTGATCTCTCGAGTTAAGAAGCATGTTACATGGGGAGTCCTAAAGTCTGTAACTGGAATTCAGCTAAGGTATCTTAATGATACTCCTGTAAACCTGCCTTCAAATCTCCGTACTCCGAATCTTCTCCCACTTCAAACTTAACCAGTCTTGTTTCCCTCCTATTTGTTGGGTTAGGATCCGAATAACATACTATATGCAAGTGTGTGAGCTTTTGGAATGTAGATCTGCTGACTCTCCTTTTACATTTTGGTAGGGTAAGAAATTCAAAGACAAGGGAAACAGTCAACAACCAAGTATAACCGCTTCTCCTGATGGTGAATTCAATCTCGGTGACGATGATCAGTCTGATCAGAAAGCAACCTTTCTAAAGCGTCCAACTCATGGATTTGTTACTTCCGTTAAAGGCCTCTTCAACACTCAACGGCGCAAAGGGAAGCAATTTGTGCTTCCAACTATGAGAAATGAAGGGGAGGGCGATCAGCAGGTACAGCTGAGTTAAGGTGAAGCCGAGAAAGGTATGCATCTGTTTCCTTCCTCTCATTTAGCTTTGTTTCAAACGAATGGTGTCTATTTCTTGAAACCAATATCTGAAAGTGCAGACTTGCATTGCTGATCTTGACAATTTGAGCATTGAAAATTGGGTAAATTACGCATTTAGTATCTAAATTATCAAATTTGATCTGTTTTAATACTTAAATTTTCATTTTTTTTCTACATCATACAGAACATTTAGTTTTCATTTCATTTTAATACCCCACCATTAAAAACTTAACGTGTTTAATACCTAAACTATCAATTTTGGTACGTACATAAACTTTCAATTTTTTCAAAACTTAACGTTAAATTTGAATGGGATACTAAAATGAAACAAAAACTGAAATTTTGAAGGGCGAATACTAAAAGGAAACAAAAACTAAACTTTAAGTATGATTTTAAAAAACCTATAAGTTTATGTACTAAAACAAATCAAAATTGATAACTTAAGTATTAAACACGTAATTTACCCTGAAAATTTGAAGGTAGTCCTCAGCTTGGTATAATTGCTATTGGATGATATGCCCTTTATCTAATATTGAATACCTGCCTCGTACACCAAGTGCTTCAAGCATTTCAAATCTGATAATTGTGTAGCTAGAATCAAATAAATTGTATTTTGTAAAATACATTTAAATAATTTATTTTGCAATAAAAAAATAGTTGTCAAAAGTTCCAATATTTTCCCTTTGAGTTCATTTCTAAGACGTGAATCAAATCACATATATGAATTAAAAATGTAAATCATTAAAACGGAGAATCTATCAATACAATCTTATATTATTCAAGTGGCTATTATTAAATTGTTTTAAGTCATGAATTTAAAAGGATGAGAAATTAAATTCAAGAAAAAGATCTAAACATATTTCATCTGCACTGGCACGACGTTATTGAATCCATTCACTTGACATCCTTCAAAGGATTTCCGTGGTATAAACTTCATATCATGTTAGAAGGAAGAAACAAATAACAATCTCAGATTTATAAAAAGCTCGAGTAACTTGAAATTTTTAATTAAAAATATATTTAAAAAAGCAAATAAATTTATGAGCTACTCAAATTATTTGTTAAAATATTAAATTTTATTCGATTGATAGCTCAAGCTTGATGAAATAACATATCAAACCAAATTCATTCTTCTTAGTCTAACCCAAAATAACTTGCAAATTAATACTTAAAACCAAGCATCCTTGAGTAAGAACTAAATTAAACAAACATCATTTGCCCACATAATCGCACAAGCATTACATGAAATTTCTGGGTTATAACACCACAATGTTAACATTTACGCATACTCAATCACACAAAAGATTGATGATGGGAGAAAATGTTTCCAAATAAAATTAAGGGTAACATGCAAGCTTTTGAACTCCAACAGTTCGTGTTCAAGGAGAAGGCCAGTTTGTGAAGAATCCCAGTTTACATGAACCCAGAAAAGGGTAAACGGGTATTTTTATCATGAATTCGTACCATACAATCAGTTTAGCCTTTCACAAAAATACACACCCAATTTAACCCTCGATTGCATCAATTTTACACTGACTAACGGTAATTGTTACTATACTATTATAGTCGTAAATAGTGTTGATGTCACAATCAGAATATCAATGATTATATAGCATATGGACAATATTTGAGCTTTTTAGGAAGTTTTTAGGATAATAGGTCTTTTTACGAAGTTTGAGGGCAAATGTTACCCTTAAACTTCCTAAAAATTCAATATTGCCTTAACTTCTTAAAAAATCGATGTTACCCTTGAACTTAAAAAATCATGTTACCCCTCTACATCGTTCACGTGCCTGAATTCTTAAAAAAAAAAACAAATGTTATTCCTCTACATCGTTCACATGTGGACAGATGGGTCAATATCAATAGATTTTCATGTTATGTTAACATCATTGACTACGACATCAATATAATGAACCACCACATCAGCATAATAACAGTCAACGTTAGTCAAAAGGTTAATTTAATACAATGCACAAGTTCAAGGACTAAATTAAGTGTATTTTCACACACACAGACTAGAATTGATTATATAGTACAATCTCAGAGGTAAAAGTACCCCTATAGCCTATATATAAAAAAGATGAATTCAAGTTTAGCCCCTTTAGGATCGTGTATTCAAACGTTTAATTCACTTTGTTTTAAGTTTTATTTCAAAAGATTTGAGTTATTCCTGTGAATGTTAATCGACTCAGATACTTACAAAATGCTATTTAATTTAAATTTGAATGATTCTCACATGTATGCAAATGATAAATGAATTCAAAATTTAAGGCTAAAGATACAAATTATGATCCAAATATTAGAGAAACATACAATATATATACATATAAAATATTTATACACACTGATGAACTGACAATGTACCTTGTTTGAGAAAAAAAAAATTGCAGTGTGACTTATAATCTTCTATATTGTTGAGTCCTGGGAAAACTTAGGCAAAGATGGAACCCTAAAGTGGTGAGCAATTTTGGGGAACAACTAACTAAAAATTGCAAGGGCTGGATTAAAATAACAACAGGCGTGCGGTAAGGAACATTAAAGTTGTCTATCTATAATAACGGTAGAGATAATGGGTAGATATTTTTACTTTAAAAGTAGTAACTAGATATAATCACAATATGCAATACAACAAGAGGACCGAAGTGTGAAACTGATACAAAAATATTAGATGATAATAAGTTTAAATCTATCTGCCCAACTAAGAACAGAGAGCTACCTGTTAACGATAGTTATATGAACCAACTGGATTAAAACTCGCATTCCATACATTTAACTTACACAGATCCACCTACCACTAGCAAACTGATAGATTAGAACAAGGATTTGACAAAGAAAGGGAATGAAATATAAAGTCCAATTATTTTTTACAGAAAAAGATTAGTCATCTTTTACATCAACTAATATGGCATTTGATTAGTACATAAAAAGGAGGCTTAGATAGTTCATCTAAGATGATTTTTGTGAGGGATAAGAAATTGAAGCATACGGCCTACAAGATTATAAAAGATAAGATGAAGTTTCGGGTAATGCATCCGGAATGGTCTTTTTCCCTCTAAAAGAGGTAATCTCATGCAAAAGTACCCTAAACGGAGGAATAGGAGGAGAAAAACTTGTATACAGATGAAGGTAGCTATGATATCTGTACATATAGCACAAGTTCGAAGGAACTTACTAATCAAGATCTATCTGAAATAATGGCCATATTAGCACAGACAATTAGTGCAGAGCCATCACCATTTGAGGAAGAAACTACATTGCTTTTTGAAGTAGGAATAGCAGTTCCAGGATCTGAGTCATTTGCTTCAATATCTCTCTATCATAAGAAAATGCAAATCATAGATTAGGTTGATGAAATAATTAGGTAAATTAGAACAGGCGGTCAAGAAGTCTAATATAATAAGTGTATGTGTTAAGAAACTTACATGCTCGAATAGAGTCGGGGAATGATCCCGGGTTTTCTTGGGAATATCCCTCAAAGTACCCTGCGTAAAAGTTCCCTTGTTAAAAACTCAAAACATGAGGCATGCTTTGCAAAGGGAAAGCATTGATACACATGCAAAATTAAAAGCAAATGTAAAAGTAAATGCCCAAAAGAAACGGAATAAAACTTAAATGTAACCCTTGAGGGAGAGGGGACGGAGCCCACTTCCTTGACACAGCACATTGACACCTTCTCAGTCCGCATTTGTGAAGCAGAAACATTTTACCCCCACCCCAGAACTGTGAACTATAAAACACAAGAAGGGACACCAACCTTATTTGCCCAAAAAAGTCCACAAGCATTGCACAAAGACCTTGGACCAGATGGTCCACGTCGCATCATTGGGGTGGAATTTGAACTGATGCCACAATGAGTACACCTGGAAACGTAGAAAATGACATTATATGATAACTCCAATTATTATAAACTTATATTGAGAATTCACCAGGAAATTTTGAAGCTGACATCAGTAAATGGAATGCCTTACGAAAGAGAGATGAGAAATATAGCATAGTTCAAAGAAAGAAAATATAAACAATAACACTCTAAAGACGTATAAAACTCACGAAGTATCTGATAGTTTATCATTGTCCTGTGTACCCGAGTACTCAGTTCCATCAGACTTCTTGGAAGATGTAAATTGACCCTTATCACGCTGCATCCTGAAGCACTCACAGAAATCAGAAATATAAATTAGGCAACTATGGGAACAAATATAAAGTTATTAATGAGGAAGGATGGTCCCTAATGAGTTTTTCAAGATTCCTTTTCAGTTAAAATAAACCACCGCAGATATCAATATTCAATCTACATGGACTCAACTATATACATATTTCTAAATTATGCAGTTACTTGATCATTAGTAATTTAGTACATGTATAATCCTTCCCCATTTGTCAATGTAATCCTACTGTTGCATTTGCAGCTAGAGCAGTGAACTAAAATAGTGTTCTTTACTATTTTTTGAATTCTTTAATTTCTTTTGCCTCGAGAGACCCTTATTCGACTACATCCATTTCTTCTGCATAAAAGCACCTAACTTGCCTGACTGTAACAGCTTAAACCTTACACTTCTGGTTAATAACAAAACCCCCTAAATCAACAATATTTTTGGATAAATAAACCATTAATGTGTTAATCATAGAACTTTGGTAATATTAAATGCAAAGTTAAGAAGGGTGCAAGGCACTAGAACCCTTATATTCTTGAGGCACAAAATGCAAAAATAATGTGCTTGCTTGAATGAAGGTGCAGCATACATGGGTTTTCTTACATAGGTGTCTCGAGTACATATATAAAATAACATTTAAGATACAGTCATAAACTCCTATGAAAATGAGCACGTGAAAGAATAAGTAGCGCATGAGAGTTAACATAACTCTCATGACATAAACCATGAAAAGGAGCAACGAAAAGGGCCATAAGATGATAAGAAAAAGATTAAAAAAAAGTGTGAATAAAAATCATTTACTTCAGCTATCCGTACAACTAGGGATGGGCATTAAAACCCGACCCGATCGGGTCGGATTTTTCTTAAAAAATCGGGTTTGGGTCGGGTTTTTTAATGTGGTGTTCGGGTCGGGTCGGGTCGGGTTTAGGGTGAAAAAAATCCGATCTGACCTGACCCAAAAAAATATATAATTTTACCCTATATATTAGGGATAATTACAATAATACCCCTCTATATATAATTTTTTTCAATTAAGTCACTGTTTTATAGAATAAAAATAATTTTTTTTATTATTTCGGGTCGGGTCGGGTTTCTATGTCATATATTTGGGTCGGGTGAAAACTTGTTTTGGTCGGGTCGGGTCTCGGGTGGAGGCTCTCTTGCTCTCGAGTCGGGTCGGGTGGACCAAAAACCCGACCCATGCCCATCCCTACGTACAACCAGCATAACTCTCACAATATAAGCCATACTTTTCTCAAAGTGTTAATGCTCAGTAATTCCTCAAACCCCAAAAGGGCCATACTCACTATATTAATTCCAAGGGTAAGTTGTTAACATCAATTGCAAGATTGATAAAAAGATTTTTCTAGTTCGAAATTTGATGGAAACTTTTGCAAGCACAGACAGCTAAACTAACTGCATGTCAGGGAAGGAAAATGCACACCTAAGAGCAACTTCCTGGCAAACACCATATCTGACTTTCTTATCAAAGCATCTCTCTTTCCTCTTCTGACGAAACCTATCTAACGAAGCTGCCCTGTGTGGTTGATTAGATCTCGGAAGGTCCAAATAACCCTAAGAATGAAAGCAGTGTAAAAAAACAAAGAATGTAAAACAATTTATAAATTCAACAAATTTAAGAGAATTACCCTTAGGTTCTGAGATGACATTTCAACACCATGGGGACCTGAAGTCAGTTCACATCCCCCTAGCAGTAATAGCACCACGTGGAACTGCAGAAAATCTTTAGTTCTTTACAATGTGCATTTCATTGGTGTGGGGGGGGAGTGGGGATATAGAAACAGGAATGATGAGAAGCCTGATGTTGAGGTTCAATATTGCTTTAACAACTTGAATTAAGAGAAAATGAAGTTATATTTCTTTTCAATTTAAGTCGTCTTTCTTCAAAAATCAAGCGTTTCAGCAAACCTTCATTTGGCTTAATGGGAGAAAAAAAAAGACTGAAGGGGAAGACGATACCTTATCCGGAGTAATTGCATCAAATACATAGACCTGACCGCGAAACGAGAGAGTG